GAAGTAGAACGTCGAGAAGCGGAGGTTCGGGTGCCGGAAGCAGCTTGCGCATCGCGTTCGTGAACTTCAGGTGACACGTGAGGCGCGTGGCATGAAGGCCGAAACGAGTAGTCAGGGTATCTTGGTGTATTAGCTGCGAAGCGCCGACGACATAGACGCGCAACGTGACCTGGAATCCCGCAAAAGTAGCATATCGGCCGGTTGTCAGCAGTGCGCCAAGGATTTCCAGCATGCTGCTGTGTAGCTGGAAACGGCGCGGTAGAAGGTCGCACAGGTTGTGGCGTATACAATGGCAGACGAGGCGGAGGCATTGTCGCGACGGCCGCATAAGTCAGTGGCGCGGCAACAGGTGTTGATGGAGAGGCAGGTGTAGGTAATGGCAACGCCTCGGAGACCTGCTCCTGAATAGCCTGTCTGATTGTCGGCGTTAGACGGTTCGTTGGTGCTTCGGTGGTCGGCAGATACGAGAGACACGAAAGCTGTCGTGCGATCTCTTCACGTACATATACTTTTATCTGCTCCAGCAGGGTGCTGTCACCACTGACGGCCAGGGAAGCGAGAGAGTCGTCTGCTGTCGTTGACCTCCGAACTAATGCACGTTGCTTGCGAATCTCTTCCAAGTTCTGGCACAAGGTTACAAGTTCGGATACGGTACTTGGGCCCTTTGCCAGCAACATTTGAAAGGCATCATCGTCTATTCCTTTCAAGATATGCCTGATCTTTTCTTGCTCGGTCATCTCAGGGTTAAAGCGCCGGCATAAATCGATAACATCTTCAATGTAGCTAGTGAACTTTTCGCCCTGCCTTTGCGCTCGTCCGCGTAGGCGCTGTTCAGTGCGCAGCTTGCGCACTGCGGGGCGATCGAACACAGCTGCAAGGGTGGTCTTGAACGCGGCCCAAGTGGTAAATTCCGTACGGTGGTTTGTGAACCACAGGCTGGCGACGTCTTTGAGATAAAATGGGACGTACTCCAATTTCGAGGGGTCGTCCCACTTGTTGGCGGCGCTCACCTTTTCGAACAGCTGCAACCAGTCTTCCACATCTTGGTCCTCGGTGCCGCTGAAGAAGGGGGGATCCCGTTGGCGCAGGGTGGTAGGTACGATGACCAGTTGAGATTGGGCCGTGCTCTGCAGGGGGGTGCCTTGCTCGGTCGTCGACCTGATCAGGCATTGTTGATGCAGTGGGCAGCTTCCGGCTTCGAAGTTCCAGGTTTGCGTACCCAGCACACTTCCACCACTTTGCAAGGGAGTTTAATAGAGACGCCAGGCAGCCGGTAGGAACAGAAATGCTCGAGCCGTCCAGCGTCTACAGCTCGTGCACACACTCCCGCTTCGCACTCCGAGAGAGATGGTCCCACTAGTCAGTGCCTTGCGAATTCCCCACTACACTTTATTCATTATGGAAAAGTCGCATGATCGATAGACACGCCGAGCCACCACGGTCGACGAGATCTGTCTTCCGAGAAGCAGCTGCTCAAGTGCGCAGTGTTGTCGAGACTTTTGACCCCGTTCCGGAGTGGCTTCCCGTTCTTGACGCTTGTGTGTGTTTGCCTGACTTCTGATGAAGTATGTTCTGTGTACTTTACTGGTAATAATGTCATTCATTAAAGAAAAAAAAAGAAAAAAGGGCAGCTGTGGAGTAGTTGGTAAAGCAACACATCAATTGGTGAGGTCGGTCGTTCAAGTCCCAGTGCAGTTATCGATACTTTCTCTTTTTTTTTGTTCACGCATGTATTGTTTTACCATTTGCGCCTCCTCATTAGCCCGACTTGCTGCTGGTGGTGGTCCTGTCCACAGGCGCTTTAATATTGGATCTTCGATGACTCTTGCAGGTTTGACTATATTTATTATGATGAAGTGTTTTGCGAATTAGTGCTCTTAATCGGCGAGACGCAAAAAAAAAAAAAAAACTCGAATGCAGCTGGCTCCATTGGTTTCTTCGGCACAGGTGTCAGGAATGTTGATTTCCACGGTTTATCAAAGTTTTGATGACAGAAAGGTGCACTGCAACGCAGTCTCGGGCAACTTTTTTATGTCGCTCAGTGTACCATCACCTGACGAGGTAACCGGCAGGACGCTTTCTTTAAAAATACTGACGTGTCACCGCAATGTTCTAGGCGATCAGCACTTGATAAACAATGCCCAAGGGCAAGTGCCGACGGCGTTAGCCTATCTAACTACAAAACAGCTTGTCTGCCTTGCTCAATAACACGCGCGGCCTGTGACAGCACGGGAGCATTCACGTAGCAACGAATGAGCTTGAACGAATGAACTTGACAAAACAGACGGCAATGCAGTAGCTCTGGCCTTCAGAGATCACAGGCTTCGTAAGAACATTACAATAAAGTTGTTTCCATCCATCGTATGAACACTTCGCCGACGCACTGGGGTTTCACGCATGTGCGTCCGGTCAGTCACACGTGAACTGTGCGAAAGCATTTATTTCATCGTCGACCTTGTCCTTCGCGACAAGCAAAACAAGGCAGCAAAACACTTTCACCTTTGACAACACCACGCTTGGCATTGCAATCTAGAAAATGTAGTAACTTTTTGGTCGAGTCGCTCCCTGGATTTCGTGCCGACCGGTTGTGCGCCCGCGCGCTCCGCGCGCTCGCGACCTTCGGCGTCATCGTAGCTCTGGCCGACTGGGCTCGCCCTACGTCATCTCCTGTCGCCGACGACCTTCGACGACAGCGCAGCTCTGATTTACTGGTCCTGCTCTACGCCATCTACAGACGCCGACAACATCTCTCGCAAGTGTACCCCGTCCTCGGACTCCAGTGACCGTTCTTCCATCTTTCCTGTCTCTCCTATCCCCTCAGTTTGTTGTTGCTTCTTCTTCCTCTTTCCTATACCTTTACTTCTACCCTTTTATCCCTCCTTACCCCCATCCCTTTGTGAGCTCTGTGGCGGTGTCGCTCACTGAAGCAGACAATAACGGGGCTCACTTTTCCTTTCTCTTAAGAACCACTTCAGTAGTAAGTCCAACAACTGTAATCCGCACATCATACTGATGAAGCTGCAGCGCTGTGGACGGCCGCGCTAGCTGCAACCACCAGGTTCAACTAAGCTTCCAGCAATCACATGAAGCAACGACGACACTCCAGTCCTCCTTGGGAGTGGCCTAGGCCATGATTTCGTCGGAGTTTTCACCACCTAACACATCGCAGGCGGGTGCTGGAGATCAGTGGCGGCCCGGCGGGTACTATCTCGCAGTGTTTACATTTCGCAGCCGCAGCGTCCATGGCGCCCCCTGTATTTAAGATACTTGTAATATGTATTTGAATAACAAACCTAGGCTAACGAGTCATTAAACACTTGTTTAGTAAAATGTTTGCAGGTTTAACGCATTACACTTAAACAATTTAGACATTTACCTAGCTTTAGGTAACAATATTTGAAGTGACGTCACTTCCGTGCAGCGCAGGAGCCACTTTTGTGTGGGGCTTCCGGGGCTTCTGTGTGAATACTAATAGGTATTCCTTGCTTGGCACTCTTTATGCACCATTTTCAACATGAACGAGTTAACACCGTCAGGGCCCGGAGCCGCTGATGGCTAGTTAGCTAACACTTGCGACAGCCGTAGTGGAAGCGTTCGCACACTTCGGATTCTTCTTTCTCTTCAGGATGATGGCGCAGAGTTTTTCAAAGTACTGATGTTTAGAGATAGGGAGGGCAAAATAGACTTGAAGCGGGTAGAATTAACTAGAAGGAGGTTATCTGATTGGTGGCTAAAGTAAAGGCACGATGGAAAATTAAACCATTCACTGCAAAGTACCAGTCACAGAACACCTGCTCGGTGCTGTTTTCTGAGCAGTCTGCATAGACTGTCTACGTGCTGTCTAAGAATTGGAACACAGCCAGAGTTTCTTGTTTCACACAATGGGATGACCGAAGACAAACCCGCTGCGCGTTCGCCATCTCGGAGGCCATGATGGGGGGTTCACGATCGCAGCATTCTGTGATATATCAGCGCCAGATGCCTCTCAAGGCATGGAATATTTTTTCTTTCCTTCTTGTCTCTCGGTATTATTGTATAAACAACGCAGTGTGGAACAACGGATATGAAACTGCATGCTCTAGATGATGGCGCCGGTGGTAGATTTCGCACCAAGCTTCGTTCCTGATCTTCTTGACTGGTTATGTTCTTTTGACTTCATTACTGTAGATAAAAGATCAATCGACCGTGTAACAGAAATACGTAAGGACATCAAGAAATAAGCAGAACATTAAACAGAGAGACAAAGAAAAAAAATAGGAGCAAGGAAGGCCACCCAGCTCCGCTGAACCTTCAGTCTTTGCGGAGCTGGTGTTTTCTGCTTGGCACCACTACATGTAACGTTGACAATATTTTAATTCACTATTTCTGTCTTTTGCGAGCGACGTTCCCACAAGCGCACGTTTCGCAGTATCTACCGTGACCCCACCAGTGCCGATAGTTATAGCGCGAGAACAAAACGACGACACAGAGACAAGAAGGACATGAAAGACGTCCTTCTTGTCTCTGTGTCGTCGTTTTGTTCTCGCGCTATAACTATCGTCATGCCATACCAACTAGCCCAAGCTGCCACACTCCTACCAGTGCGTCAGAGGGAGGAAATATTATCAATCATCTATTAGGTTGTGCACAAATACTGGCTAGCAAGCATACACGCGTTGCTGCATTTAATAAACAACGTAACGCTTAGGGTACTCTGGGCCTCGCCAAACATGACGACTGTGACGATGCCAAACTGGTAGGTGTTCTGTGACGATGCCGCTTGAGCGCAGTGCTACAAAACTACCGGTGTTCATATGTTCACAGGCCGACGTTGCTCTCACAACAGCTGGTGAAGATACAATACAAAACCACACACAAACAAAGAACTACAAAATATGGCGGGTGGGATTTTGCTCTGTGCCAGAAATATCACGCATATACATTCTTTGTGCGCTCCGAAACTCTTGTATGGTAGGTAAAAATCAAAGTGAATGCTCGAACTACTTTCGTGATGCGCGCGGATGAACGACTTGTCGCAGCAGGTGCTATGAGCAGTGGTGGCGACAGTTAGTGCCCTCGCTCCTCAACGCCGTCTGCGACCGTCCGTCGTCGTCGTTGTCCGAGGCGCAGTAGTCGCAGGTAGTGGTTGTCGTCGTCGAGCGTGTGCCCAGTGTTTGTTTTTCGTGCGCCGCCCGCCCTTCTTGTAACCATGGATGAAGAGTATGACGCCATTGTTCTAGGCACTGGGCTGAAGGTGAGCTCCGTGTGATGTTAAATCGGTGGGGTGTTTTCCTGCTTCCCGAGGTGCCGGCTCCCCTCGTTAGGCCTAGGAGGCTGTGCTACACCCCTTTGCAGACCTAGCCACTGACGGCGGGGCCGTGCGGTTAGCTTCAAATGCTGCCGTCGTGTCGGACAAAGAATACCGTCCGAGCAGACCCAAAGAGGCGCTCGTTTGGCAGGCTACTCTGAAATACGATAGCGCCTCTCTAAGTGCTCCACGTAGCTTGACCGACATTTGTCAGGTGTGCCGGCTGGCAGCTGCGAGTGCGTAGGCCTAGCGCGATCGTCGACTGACTATTTGACAGCTGCTTGGAGACAGGCCATTGGAGCGGCTCTCTCCCAACGATCGAGTCGACGGCCACACGGGGCCTCTCGCCGCCTCGCTAAGCTGACGGGACGCGGCGTGACAGATGCGCTCGTGCTCCGTGGCTGTTCTGGACGCACTCGCGTTTCGGGCACGCATTCTTATACTCAGTGGTCATTGGGTCGGTTGCGTGCCATATGTATGCGGCTTCAAAGGCCCACCGGCAAAAAAAATAAAAAAATAAGGCCTATTTAACAGCATGCGAGCATGGTAAAGATTGGTAGAAAAAAAGGCGGCGTTATTCGATGCCACTGACGTGTGGATATATCGGTTAGACTGGCGGGTGTGTTAGCGACCGTCTGCGTGAGCGCCAAAATAACGTGCGCGATGTGATGCAGGGGCATTCATTGCAGGACTGCAGTCTGTAGTACGTGTGACGCAAGGCATAGGTCGCAAGCTGAAAAGACAGATTCGGCGACAGCTGTGTCCCTTGCACTGACCGGGTTGTAGAACAATCGTGGACCCGTGTTAACCCCTTGCCTCTCTCTCTATTTGTAGTATATTTAGCGAAATAAAGATCAGTCGGAGGACTTTTTCTACTTTACTTTATTTTTTTTTGTTCTATGGTCGCGCGCAGTGAAATAAGCTGTCGTGAATGAAACCAAACTCGCCGATGCTTCTACACTTGCGCGCGCACACACACCACGCACACACACACACACACACACACACACACACACACAAAAAAAAAAAAAAAAACGTGCTGCTGATTTCTTGAGAGAAAGAGACATGCTAACCAATGGAAAATCTGCATGTATGGCATTTGACTGAGGCTTAGGTTGAGGAATAATTTTCTTGGAACACTGCACCCATCCACAGTGAATATCAGCAAAACAGCTGAAAACAAGTGACAATTAAAAGGACCCAGTTTAGATCTTTCTGTACCAACACATTCGGCTGGTTGGACCAAGTCTTAAAAGGGTCATTTACAGACTGATTTGAGCTCTGCGTTAACTGCAGTGATGGACGTGCTACTCCACTCCAAACTGCTCCAAAAGAGAAATGCTGCTCCAAAGTGTAATATTCGTTAGTAACTGCTCTGAACCTGTTCCAAATGACACTGCAATACTGAAAACAGTGAACTTTAATTGTGGTGTGATCATCCAGTGAGCCTAAATGAAAACAAAAACAATCTCTATGCCAACATTTAGTATGCAGCTTGTATACATGGTGTGCACGTGCGTCATGAAGAACCCCTTTGTCACTTCTGGAATGTGGCACCGACATGCCCACGTTCCTATACTGCTTATGTTGCCGACCACTGCCATATTTTCTTCGTGCTTGTGCCCGTTCAGTTTTGCCTTGCGGTGCAAGTTTGAGCAATTGTTAGCTGCTGGTGAGGCAAGTTGATTTAGCAGCTGACAAAGAGGCAGCAGTACGTTGGGTGTTTAAAGTATCTCTGCCGAAAGTTGTTACATAAAATTGAGAACTCACACCGTGATTTTCCGAAAAGCACCCACGTGTTTGGCTGGCGCCGATTAAAAAAAAAAAAAAAACGACTTGGAAAACCTTAATGATATTTACATCTTCAGATGTAACTTCACCAAGGGTAAGGGCTATATTTAAGCGCATACCTGAAAACAGATATTTTACCATGATTACTCTACCTACAAAACTTATCCGCGACCACTGCATTCACAATTAGGGCGGCAGGGAGGTAATTGAAATCATGATGACGATCGTGGGAATTTGGCTACTGCATTGAAACAAACTGTGAAAACAGATGTGGAAAAAATTTTTGCTCATTCGCGGTTTGAAGCATAGCGCAAATAAGTCTCCAGTAGATTAACATTCTGATCGGTTCAAGTTGGGGGGTCAGGTTCTATTGGTACATTGGTCGATTGATTCCCTAAAACAGTCTCCATCATTTTCAGGGACTCCACTGTACAGTAAAATAACTGCACTGTAAAGTAAAATAAAAAGTGACTGGCATTACCACAGTACGCATCTTGCCCAAGTCTTTACCTCACAACTTTTTTTCCCTTGGCTGCTTCCACAAATTCCAATCGAAGAGCCTCAACATCAGTGTTGTTTAAAACACTTTGGGAGCTGCGCTGCACGAGCTATTTCGGTGTGGTGGGTTGGAGAATTATAATAAAATTATTATTATTGGTATTATATATCTTGTTAACTTGCTTAGCTCTGCGCGATGACTCATTTTCGATGAGAGCAGCTTTGCTTTGCTCATCTACTCTTAAAACTGCAGCTCGAGATACTTCAAAGCTGTCAGTTGTTCTTAGGCCACGCTATTTGTAGCGAAAGCGAGATAATATGCCCTTGTAGGTTGTGGTGGGCTCCCGGACTGCGCGGTGGCATCGCTGTTGATGAAAACTCTGTATAGGTCGACGTGTCGCACATCTTGTCGAGCGAAACCTTCCTGATCTGTTGAGCATGTTAAAGTGCGACAACAAAAAACCACACTGCTTCCCTTCCAACATTACGCACAGCAACAGACGACAAGCCTGCAACAAACAGTGCTGCAGCACACGAAACTGCTGTAGATACCCAGGGAGGTACCTGGGCATGGCGGGAGAGGGCAACAACGGCAGAAGTGGCATCACAGAATGCTATGTATACTAGAGGTTGCTAGGATATTTTGATAATTGCACACGTACTAGCATTGTCGATATATGTCTGGTTTAGTTTTGTATTTGTGTCTTACAGGCAGACTATTTTGGCGAAATGCATGCAGTACCTGTGTCACACGGGCGCGCAAAAAGTCTTTTAAGTAAGCGGTCTTTTTACGAAGTTGAAAGACTTTTAACAAGAAGGTGTTACGGATGCAGACACACGGCAGCAACGATCTCCTTTTAGAGTTTTCGTTCGAAGACGCTAGCAAAAGCATGGCGCTAGTAGTTAAAAGAGAAAGCAATGAAAATTAAACGATGTATCACGATGTACAAATTAAAGGCTTGTTGCACTGCTCGTTTCTTCAAATAAATTTAAGAATAAGAGATGAAGAAACACCAACGTGAAAGTTTGTTGCACTAGTTAAGGAAGCATTCCCATAACTAGCGACGTGCACAAGTCCGTCTGGCACCACTGGGCTTTTATTTACCGTATTTGTTTTTCGCTGCTCTCGACACGTTATGGGCGACCGTACAGAAGAAAAAGCTGAGGATTGCAAGCCTCACGGCCTGCCTTCTCTCTCTGGAAAGCGAGGCAGACCCTGCAAAAGCCGCCAAGGAGAGGATCAAGCAGCAACTGCTGTTCAGTATTCGTTGCTGTGCGCACTGGAGCTGTCGGAGAAGGCCTGCGATCGATCGATCTGGGCCTTCAGACGAAACGAGAGGTGGTTCGAGGGAACTGTACCTCGCTGAGCAGAACTTCATGCAATCTTTTCGACGAGTGTACCCGTCCACCTTTCGTTTCATTGTGGAGAGCTTGCGCAGTGAGCTCGCAAGACAGTGCACCAGCATGCGTGAAACCATCACTCCTGACAAGCGAGTCGGCATTACCCTATACAAGCTTGACCACTTGAATGACGGGCAAACACACGACTGCCACGCTTTCCTCGCTTGTGCAAAATGGCGCGGTGCGAGACCGAGCGTCGCCACGTGATATTGCCGACGCGTTGTAGCTGCTTACGAGAGTAGAAAAGGAAATAACCATTAAAAGAGTTCATTACACCTTCTGCAGGATATGAAATTTGTTTTTACAAAGAGTTTTGGTGACAGAAAAATAAGCATTCGCTCTTTTTTTTTGCACCACTCGAAAATTGCTGGCGCCCACTGGTTTCGAGGCTACTCATTCGGAGACGTAAAAGAGATCGACGAACTCCGTTTACGAAAAAGACCGCTTCTGAAAAAGAGTTCGCTCTGTGCCGTGTGTCTGCTGTCAGGAACTCCTTTTCGGAAAAAGACCGCTTACTTAAAAGACTTTTAAGTGCCCGTGTGACAGGGGTACAAGATTAGTTCAATAGCTTACTGATTACTAACTATGACAGCCTTGATGTGCAGTTTAATACATTGACCACTGCTTTGACCTTACTTGTGCCATAAGAACTGGCATATAAAGCGCATGTTTAGATGTTTTTTTTTTTTTGAAATTTTTGATGGTGGCTATTGTGGTGAAATATGAAAATAACATTGCTGTGATATTGTATCGATTACACATTTGCTGCTTTGGTGGCAATTGCATGTAGTACCTTTGTGTAGTGCCCAGATTTATCACTTTTGTATTACTTCTACCACAATTGCTGGTATTTTAAATACATGTAGCTCTTCTTAAGTGTTCATTGATCATCCACTAGCTTAATTATATTGTCACGTTACTCACGACAAACTTGATACAATGGGCTTGTTGAGTCGACTAGCCAAGCAGCGGCTCAGAGAGATCGTCTTTGTCCTCTTTCACTCTTCGATCTCACCCAAGCAAACCATGTGGCAATAGTCCCCCCCCCCTCTTTGAAAGCATCGACTCGATGCTCGTAAGTAAAAAAAAATGAAGGCATACACACGCAGATATAGAGAACCAAAGAGGGAGAGTGCCAGTACTCGCAGCGCAAATGAGGAAGTTTCGTCAACGCTTGCGCCAAGCGCAAAAAGAAAAGGCATAAAAACACAGGAGAACGCAAACAGCAGCAGCAACGCAAAGTCAAGGCATGTCGT